TTTTTTGCAGAATTCTAATATTCAGATTCTTGATAATCCTAGACAACATTCTTGGTTTCCACCTGGTCAACCTATTTCATACAGGGTTCAGTTGCAACAACCCAGCCATCCTTTCATTTCTCTGAGAGGCACTAGTGGCCAGCAGGTCTCTCTACTTTGCTCCTTTTGTTCTTTGTTCCATCATTTGAATCTTGGCGGTCATACCTTCTAATGTTTGTTGCTATGCCCATCATTTGTATCTGATAACTCAAAATAGTCTCTAATCTTAGAAAAAAATATTACATCCAGACTCCGGACGTAAAATTTAAGTTTGAAGTCCAGTGAGAGTGTGTCACGTGACAAGTGAGCCCCATCTCTCATCTCTCTCAAAAACCTAGCCAACTAGTACATTACAGTGAGGCCCATTTGTCACATGACACACTCCCAATTTACTCCGTTCTCAAATTCGTGTCCGTAGTCCGGAGTCCGGAGTCCGGAGTTCTAATGTAATATTTTCTCCTAATAATTTGTCCCTTTTCTGATATGGGGGTTTTCTGGTAGGGCATTGAGGGTTTCCATGCTTTGGCATTCTCGTATAAATTTCAAGAGAATTTTTGCAGGTTTTTTTGCCGAGTTCATCAATCTTTCCTTTAAGGTTTTGTAACTCCACCTCATCTCCGTAAAAAATTGGAAGAAATCAGTAGAGAGTTCTTGGTTCTTTGTGCGATGCTAGCTTGAGCTACTTAAAGGGTTTTCAGGTCATGATTGTCGTCGTTGTCTGGACATTTGGTGGTGTCTGCAATCTCTTTCTAGTTGCCGCCTCTAATACCACTCTAGCGTAATAGCTTGATGAAAAACAAATCAAGCAAGAACAAATAGATAAAGGTTGTAACTAGGCTTTGTTTGTAAATTCACTAGAATTATTCCATTCCTCCCTCTAACAAAAGGAACTTTATGTATATTTGGCTGACAGACATAGTGCTAAAAATAGGAAATCACGTTAAAAATAGAACAGATAAACCCCACAAGCTAAAAAGGTAAAGTGCAACAAAACAGAATGAAGAAGTGAATAAATTCTTTAGTGATTGTTTGGTCGTAGCTTGTCATAGACTATCGATTGTGGTAGTTTGTGCTCTCAACTTCTGGTGCCCTCTTCATTTGACCATTCGTTGTCATAGACCATTCGTTGGCATATACTATTTGAGAATAAGTTTATGTCCTTTCACAAAAAAAACTCCTGTATATTATATATTACTTTAAAAAAAAAGTAATAAGATAAGTTTTATTAGATTAATTTTTAATTTAACAATATATTAGCTATTATCCATCCTAAAATTAAATTTTTATCTAGTTATTGAATGACACACAAGTTGCTTGGAAACAAAAATAATTGAATTAGGCTGTGTTCAAATTTGGTCCATCAAACCTTCAAAATTTGAAAAAACATTCATATTTGTTCAATTGCTAACCTGAATAGGGATTAATTAAATCGAGTTCGAGCTATTTACCATGTGTATTGGTTCTCTTCTCTTACAGCCCCAAAAACAACTATGTTACTTGTTCGACTACAATTTATTCAACCACCTCTTTTTGCTATTTACTTCCTACCAAAAGTTGATCATCCCAGCTATTTATCTTCTTAAGAAATTAAATTCTATACTGTAATTTGGTATTTTATCATACAATTAAACATAGTTAGTGAAGAAAATGTTCATTCCCTGTCAGAGCTTCTCTGCAAGGACTAATTATTTACACAATAGAAGGCAGGAGAACATGAATAATGTTCCGCTGGCGCTTTCTTCTTCACATGATCCACAAGGGATGAGGATGTTCAGCAGTAGGTTGGCAGCAGCCCCACCAATGCAACGGAGACGGATGCTTCACGAACGTTTATTTCCGTTGGTTCACCAACAACAGGTTTCCTCTGATCCCTTCTGATTTCTCAAGTTATTATAAAGCAGCCTAGATCTGTATTTTTTTAATCAGTAATTGAAATACGTTGTGGCTAATGCAGCCACATCTTGCTGAGAAAATTACTGGGATGTTGATAGAGATGGATTACTCTGAAGTACTACTGTTTTTGGATTCACCTGAAAGACTTGCGGCAAAGGTGGATGAAGTTGCTCAAGTATTGAGACTTTCTTAAACAAGTGGGTGGTCATGCTTCCTTTCACCATAACAATTTTTTTGTCTACGGAGGTTTCTATAAATTGATAGGAATCATGATATTGAGAGCTGCCATTCTTCAAGTTTCTCTATTAGTCTTCTGATTTTTTTTTTACTTTTTGGTGGGAGAGAATTCTGCTCCGCTTTGGATGACAGACATAGTTGAGGTGTTTTACAGTTTTCATTTTTGGATTTTGTTGGTTTTTGCATGATTGTTTGATTTCAGTGGTAATATTGAGTTCACTAGTAATAGTGAGGGTATTTTTAATCATAACTGGGCTTTTTAAAACAAATAATAAAAATGATATCTATTTCTATCTCAAAAACACTTAGAGATGAAAAGAGTATAGGTTCTAGCCCGTTTTTAATTATCCATTATTTAAAATATATTATTACAAAGATAATCAGCTCTAAATAATCATAGGGACCTGAAAGTAAGATGCATTGAATTAGCTTGTTGTCACCCTTTTTAAAGGACTGCTTTATCTAAACTGCAGAGCAGATGGCATCAGGGCAAATACTAGAATGTACTACTTATTAATGTAATGGAAGCATAATATGGTAATGTCGATTATGCATCTGATGATATGAATATTAATATTCTTATTAGTGTCGTCGAGGATGTGATTGATGTCTTGCTTGGCAGTATCTAAATTGTTGACTGTTATTTAGATGTTCAATGATATTATCACAATTTCAAAGATTGCATACAACAATATGATAATCATCCAATTGTGGCTGGAGGCAAGATTTTTGTTTTCATAAGTCGTTCATTTAGGCTCTAGTTGGGGCAGTTGCAGCTTATTAATAAGCCGTTGCGGATAAGCAGAC